GCATAAGGGAATTGTTCTGTAGTTCAGAGAAACATGCTAGGCAGGGCTGATAACATTGCAGAGTGCACAGGACAGAACTTAATTTCTGGCAGGATCAACAGGTATTTATTTGCAGTTATGGAACAGATATAACAAAATCATTTTAATAGTATATACACAATACACTGCCTGGCCAAAAAAAAAAGTCACCACCTGGATTTAGCTAAGCAAATAGATAAGAGCCTTCCATTGGATAATTGGGTTCAGCAAAGTTATGTCCCCCATAAATTAGATCTGTTGCCTACCTTAATATACCGAGAGACCAGGTTTATCCACCAATGGATTTTTTTCTTCCCTGATGGGACATATTTCAAGATGACAATGCCAGGATTCATCGGGCTCAAATTGTAAGAGTGGTTCAGGGAGCATGAGACATTTTCACACATGGATTGGCCCCCACAGAGTCCAGACCTTAACCCCATTGAGAATCTTTGGGATTTGCTGGAGAAGACTTTATGCAGTGGCCCAACTCTCCCATCATCACTACAAGATCTTGGTTTAAAATGATTCCTACTCTGGATGGAAATAAATGCTGTGACATTACAGAAGCTTATCGAAACAATGCCACGGCGAATGTGTGCCGCAATCAACGCTAAAGGCGGCCCAATGTAATATTAGAGTGTGTGACTTTTTTTTGGCCAGGCAATGTGCAGTATAAGAGACCAAAGGAAAGTAAAAAGAGCAGAAAGGAGAAGTTCATTGTTTAGGTTTGCATACATTTTAACGGCAACTCTAACAAGACGTTAGCCACACCAGGAGATAATATTTTCAGCAGGATGGCAGAATCCTAGACCCTCGCACTGAGATAAAGAGCATAAAGCCACCTGCACTTGGTATCAGAAGAGCAAATATGGCTGCCCTTCATACATATGTAATTATATGCTAAAGAACAGTTGAAGAGAGTATATATTATTTTTAAAGAACTGGTCGACAAGAGGATATCAAAACTGCATTCTAAAACCTGTTCCTTTCCTCCATTGTCATACACTGTGACCAAATCCCTGCTATGCACCTTGTTAAAAACCCAATTCAGTAGGGAAGGTTTAGAATGCAGTTGAGTTTTTATTAATGTCTGTGCCTCGGCAAAAGAGATTTCCCCTCCATACCGGTCTATTTCACAGATGTCCGACTGAACTAAAAGTAAGAGGAAATCTTCTCAACCAGGATATAATAAAAGCAAGGAAAACATTTCCTTAGTAGCTTTGGGGAAGGGTTGGAACATGTTTGTATTTCGCTTGTGGTGAGATTTCCCCTTACTTCCTGTCCAGGTGACAGATGTCAGAAAGAACAAGAAAGGAATAGAAATAGAATATATAGGAATAGAAATCTCCCTAAAATAGACACAATGTAACCCCCATGAAAGAGGTTCTAAAGCTGACCCCACATTAGTGTCTTTTCTCACCAAACATTTAATTGACAGATCAATTGGATCAGAAGGATACTTATGGGGCTAGACACAGCTTAAGTTTTAGCCATCAGCAGGACCCCTACGAAATTCGAGCGGCGCATGTCCAGCTTTACATTTCCCCATTCTACACAAAACAAATCTGTAATTAAGCTTTATTGTATGCAAGTTTCAAGCTATGCTCCCCATTTTTACAACCTCGCTCTCCTTAAATACCTTCTCTGTCCTCTTAATTCTATTCTTCATACAGTTCTATTATTGTATCCATTGAATTAAAGATCTGCAAGGGTCTCATGCACAAATCTCAGCTAAGACCTGACCTGACATTTGCTTCACACAAAGCCGATGACCAGGAATACCTTCATTAACCTTGTTCTCATATGTCTATATTCCAACCTTAACCTGCACTGAAACCAGAGCTGAGCATCCAGAAGTTCTGATCATTACAGATTGGAGATTCTTGGCTGGGTTTGTTATTTGAGAATTTGGCTGTAAGCAGGTCCAGAACATAAAATCCTTTGTGGAACAGTGACTACACCCAAACCAGACATAATAATCCCTTAGCCAACACGAACTTCTGCATGGCCTTGATGTTAATGTTAAAAGACAGTGAAACTTGTAAAGGAACCAACCCCACAATACAATCCACACCCAGGATGTGTCTGAACAACTGGAGACAAACGCATATAGAAAACAGGGAGGAAAAACAACATTGTGGATGTGCAGCCTGATTTACTGTCAAAGTTACACTGAAGAGATTTGCATTTGTTTGTTAACCACTTCCTGGCCAGCCAGCTGGGGCACCTAGTACTCTAACAGGACGTTTATAAACGTGCTTGTTTATGGAGGGAAGTGTGTGCCAGGCGTGCTCCCGATGCCTGAGATCGTGCAGTCTTTAGACTTGTAAACCAATCAAAGTGATCACAAGTGTAAACGCTGGTTGTATTTACAAACATCAGCCCTCTTACAATAGCGAAGCATGAAAGAAGAGGAAGGAAGATTGCAGGAGAACAAGCAGGCCATACACTAAGGGCTGGTGCAGAACTGGGCGATCCAGGACCCGAGTCCTGGGACTGCGTGGTCGTGTGCAGTTGCACACAGCGGCTGCCGGGCAGCCCAATGATTTCCGCACGGCAATCGCTGAAAAAAGTTACATGTACTTTTTTTGCGATACACAACTGGGCTATTAGAAAGGAATGGCACTGCCAGAGTGATCAGTGGTGTGCGACTCAGTGACCGCACGGCAATCTGCATGGTTTCGTGCGCGATCACAGATCACACTAGTGTGAACGTGGCCTAAAGAACGAAAGTAATATAACAGAGTCCTCCATTCAAGCTAAACAGTGTAGATTAAAGTGTAAAACAAAATTAGGAAAATAAAAATTATATATACACATATTTTTTATACTATAATTAATATATATACTATAATAAAACAATCTAAAAAAAATTATAAT